TTGTCATAATTATTCAATGAGAGTGGCTGGGGCTATAAGGGAGATGGGGCAAGCTCTTACCTCTCATTGGGACCCAGTGAACTAGCTCTGGGCTGTTCAGAGGAACGTAAGTATCTGCTGGAATCCAACATCTGCAAAGAGGGAAAAAGAATGATTAACAACCTCTGGGATTGCAGGAAGGATGGGCAGGAAGCCTGATGAGCACCCTTCATTTTCCCTACAATGCTCCTTTGAGCATCCAGAGATCCCAAAATATAGAGTCCCCAGCCCCAATAAATTATAGGCCCAGAGACCCAAATTAAATTGCTAAACCTTGGCCAGATGTGGTGGCTCGCGCCTGTAAACCCAGTATTTTGGGAGGCCGAGGCAGGCAAATCACTTGAGATCAGGAATTTGAGACCAGTCTGGCCAACATGGTGAAATGCCGATTCTACTAAAAATACAAAAATTAGCCAGGCATGGTGGTGCATGCCTGTAATCCCAGCTACTCAGGAGGCTGAGGCCTGGGAGGCTGAGGCAGGAGAATCACTTGAACCCAGGAGGCGGAAGTTGCAGTGAGTTGGGAATGAGCCACTGCACTCCAGCCTAGGTAACAGAACGAGACTGTCTCAAAAAACAAACGAACAAACAAAAAAACCCACAAACAAAGCCCTAAACTTCTAAACTCAAAACTGTGAATCCCAAATTGTAAATCTGAGCCTTAAATCACGCTCCAGGCCTAAAACTAAAACCAGTAAATCCCTAAACTTTGACTTTAGAACTTAGACATTAATAGTGAGATGCCAGACTCTGAAACAGAGACTATCAGGCCTTAAAAGTGTGGCTTGAGACTTATACAGACTGTGATTTTAAGACTAAAACTGTCCAGGTGCGATGGCTCACGCCTATAGTTCCAGCACTTTGGGAGGCCAAGGCAGGTGGATCACCTGAGGTCAGAAGTTCGAGACCAGCCTGGCCAACATAGTGAAACCCTGTCTTTACTGAAAATACAAAAATTGGCTGGGCGCAGTGGCTCATGCCTGTAATCCCAGCACTTTGGGAGGCCAAGGCAGGTGCGTCACAAGGTCAAGAGATCGAGACCATCCTGGTCAACATAACATGGTAAAACCCCGTCTCTACTAAAAATACAAAAAATTAGCTGGGCATGGTGGTGCGTGCCTGTAATCCCAGCTACTCAGGAGGCTGAGGCAGGAGAATTGCCTGAACCCAGGAGGCGGAGGTTGCGGTGAGCCGAGATTGCACCATTGCACTCCAGCCTGGGTAACAAGGGCAAAACTCTGTCTCAAAAAATAAAAAAGAAAAAAAGAAAATACAAAAATTAGCTGTGTGTGGTGGCACATGTATGTAGTCCCAGCTACTCAGGAGGCTGAGACAGGGGAATCACTTAAACCTGAGAGGCAGAGGCTGCAGTGAGGCACAATCACACCACTGCACTCCAGCCTGGGTAACACAGAGGAAGACTCCATCTCAAAAAAAAAAAAAAAAAAAACTTTAGAGTTCCAAAATGAGGACCTAAATCTTCACTTTGGAGACCTCCCAAAGCCAGGTACAGTGGCTCCTCCCTAGCACTTTGGGATACCAAGGCGGGAGGACTGCTTGATCTCAGGAGTTTGAGACCAGCCGGGCAATATGGCAAAACTCCACCTCTACCAAAAAAACAAAAAAATTACCTGGCTTAGTGGCATATGTTTGTAGTCCCAGCTACTTGGGAGGCTGATGTGGGAGGACTATTTGAGCCCAGGAGGTCAAGGCTACAGTGAGCTAAAATCACACCACTGCACTCCAGCCTGGGTGACAAAGTGAGATCTTGTCTCAAAAACAAACAAAAGAAGGAGCCTTCCCAAACCTACAAACCCTAAACTCTAATACTAAGATACCCCAGACCCCCCAAACTGTCAACTTCTGATCTCCAAATATGATCGTAATACTGAGATTACAGACCGCAAGCCGTACCACTACAAACCCCTAACCTAAGATAAATCCAGGCCCCTACAAAGTAAACCTCACTCCCCCAAATTGACCTCTAAATCCCCAAACTGTCCCTCAAATTACGATCCCAACTCTAAAACTGAGATCTCGAATGTGAGTCCTACTCTGAGACCCAAGACCCTAAAACTGGAGCTCCCATACTCAATGTGGGGACTCCAGGCCCTAAAACGTCCTTCTCAAAGACCCGAACTGCGACTCCACACCGTATATTGGGGATTTAGGCCCTAAATCTATACTGAGGCTTCAGTTGTCCCAGATCAGGCTCCAGACTCTCAAAATGCTATATCATAAGTCAGAACTAAGACTTCCAGATCTCCAAAGGGATCTCTGGATTCCAAGAAGAAAGTTCCCAGTCACAAAACCGAAGCCCTTCAGATTCCAGAACTAGTCACCCCTAGACACAAATCCTGAGATCCCAGATCGGAACTCGAGAGCGCAGATCCCCAACACAGTCTTCCATTTCCCAAACTCCAGCCTCCATACCCTGCTTCAAACCCAAACTCCTCCAACAGTGACCCTACACCCAGAGCATGTTCTGTTCTCCTGAGCTCCTCCCGCGGTAGGCTTCTGTGGGGATCCCGGGTTCCCCTAAGCCCAGCTAGTTCCGGGGGTCCCCCGTGCTCCAAGCCCCATTCCCCTCAGCAACCAGCACCCGCCTCAGGGCGTGCAAAATGGCGTGAGGCTGCCGACCCTTCTGGTTTCTCCAGGCCCCACTCTCGGAAGCCCGATCAGACAGCGTCTCAAGCGGGTCCCGGGAAGCTGGCCGCGAGCGCGCGGGGGTCCCAGCCGGTCTCGGACACCAAGTTCCCAACCCGGATTTGGGGGGTTGGGTGCGAATCCTCCCTGTGCGAGGATCCTGCGCGAGGCGTGAGGAGCAGAGCAAGAGTGAGTTCCCGAGGCCAGCCCACGCCCCCACCAGTTCTAGACAAGGTGTGCTCGGCACGAGACGACGGGGTTGAAAGGGCAGGATGCAAATGGCCGTGCGCATGCGCGCCTCGGAAAGGGCCCAGTCGTCTTGCACAGTGTGAGCTCGGTCTAGAGCCTTCAGACGAGGCCTTTGCTGGCGCGCCGCTAGGCAGACCAATCAGCGCCTGCTCAGCCACCCGCCTTTTTAGGCGCCACGCCCCTGCACGACCCCAGTGGTCCAGGGCCCTTGCATCCCAAGGAGGAGGCTGGGTTTCCCCAACTGTCACCTCTCAGGAAGAGAGAGAGAGCTCGCCTGTGTCCCCTTCTGGCCCTTTGGTACCCCATTTCCATCTTTTCCCTTCTCTTCATGTTTCATGAGGGCCTCCTGTGTGCCAAGCACCAGGCTGGATGGTGGGAACTCAGCCACTGTCTTCCCAGTGCAATTGAGAAGACCATGGGAACATCCGAGACGGAGAATCTAGTGAGATGGAGCTCGGTTAATGCAGAGAACAATACGTTGGGAAAGGATTCAAAGAGGAGGGCCATTTGAACTGGGCCTTCTTGGGAGACCGAGGCAGGGAAATCACCTCAGGTCAGGAGTTCAACCAGTCTGGACAACGATGTCAAACCCCGTCTCTGCTAAAAATACAAAAATTATCCAGGCGTGGTGGCCCACGCCTGCAGTCCCATCTACTCGGGAGGCTGAGGCAAGAGAATCACTTGAACCTGGGGGGTTGCATGAGCCAGGATTGTGCCCCTGCACTCCAGCCTTGGCGGCAGAATGAGACTCTGTCTCAAAAAGAAAAAGAGGCCGGGAACAATGGCTCAGGCCTATAATCCCAGCACTTTGGGAGGCCGAGGTGGGCAGATCACCTGAGGTCGGAAGTTTCAGACCAACCTGACCAACATAGAGAAACCCCGTCTCTACTAAATATATCAAAAAAATTAGCCGGGCATCGTAGCACATGCCTATAATCCCAGTTACTAGGAAGGCTGAGGCAGGAGAATCACTTAAGCTGGCAGGTGAAGGTTGCCTGAGCCGAGATCCGCCATTGCACTCCAGACTAGGCAACAAGAGCAATACTTCGTTTGTTTTTTTTTTTCTTTTGAAACACAAGCTCTGTCACCCAGTCGCACAATCACAGTTCATTGCAGCCTCCACTTCCAGAGGTTGACTCATCCTCCCACCTCAACCTGCCCAGTAGCTGTGACTACAGGTATACTACAATGCCTGCCTAGTTTTTTTGTTTTTTGTAAAGACGAGGGTCTCACTTTGTCGTCCAGGTTGGTCTTGAACTCTTGGACTAAAACCATTCTCCCGGCTGAGATTATAAGCATGAGCCACTGCACCCAGTCTGGAAAATACATCTTAAGGGGAGGTGATCTAACGACCTAGTCAAGAGTAGAAGGCCTGGAATCCGACACATTTCATTTCAAATCGTTTGCTCGGCTGTGTTGCCAGCGACAAGAGGCTTAATCTCTTTTTGCCTTATAAATTTGGGTTGGTAATTCTTACTAGGATTGTCTGCAGGGTGTCTGGCATATAGTTCCGATGCAATAAATATTTACTGAACACTTATTCACGCTGTTCTAGGTGCTTGAACAAGGTACACAGACATCTCTGCCCTCGTGGAGCTCCTGCTGCTTTTTTTTTTAAGAGACAGCAGGGTCTTACTCTGTCGCCCAGGCTGAACTGCATGGAGGCAGTGGTGCAACCCTAGCTCACTGCCTGGAACTCCTGGGCTCCAGCGATGTGGAGCTGCTATTCTATGATGTGGGACTTTCCTTCCTCCTAAGGCTTGATTTTCTCATATGTAAATCAGGAGGTAAGAAGGGAGGGGATGGATGGGAAGGAGTTTGGAAAAGTACAAGAAGCTGTTAATTATTGTGTTGATATGCTCAAATAAATCAATAAATTTGCTCTTCCCCAATTCTCCACCCCTCAACATGGCCCTGTTGCAATATTCTCAATTCCCTTCCCAAGTGCCCTGGGCAAAAATGGAGCCCTCCTGGCTAGACTCCAACTCCCAGCGCGCCCCGCGGGGGAGCGCCCTGCGCTTGCGCTGCCAACCCCTCCCCGGCTTTGTCTCCCGGGAGTTCGAGTCGTTTTTTCCCTCCGCCCGCCTAATTTGCTACCCGCCCCACCTCCAAGCTTGACCGTGCTGCCTTCTGGGAGATGTAGTCCGTGGCTGCCCGGACTTCAATTCCCAGCGGGCTTCGGGACGAGAACCCGGAAGGGGAGGCTGGAGAGAAGCGAGTGGGGGAAACCCGCGTAGCCGAGGGAGATGTATCGCGCGGCGATGGTGAGAACCCAGGCATGGGCCGGGGGCGCTGGAGAGTCGGGACGGGGGTTCGGGACCGGGTGATGAGGGGAAAGAAGCAGGGGCGAAAGAAGGGGCTGGGCGAGGGGAGATTGCATGGAAGAGGGGATTGGGAGGAATGGGAGACGGAGATAGTCGAAGAATGGTGGCTTGGGGAGGGGTCTTGGAGGTGGGGTGGGAGTGGAGCTTTGGAATTGATTGTAAAGGGGTTTAGAGCTGAGGAAGTGGGCCCCGAGTTGGAGACTGGACTGGACGTCCAAGTAGAGGCCCTGAAGGGGTCAATTTCGAGGGGGCTTAATCTGCGGCGAGGGTATGAGGGTCAGGGTTAGGATGAGTGAGAGGATGTGGAAGCTCCACGGGACAGGCTAACAGTGGACGCGATGGGTTGGGGCCTCTGGATCGGATTGGGGGCAGGAAGGCAAGTTGAGAAGGTGGGAGGGAGCAATCGATGGTAGGATAGAGTGTGGGTTAGGCTCCAGGACTGAGGATGGGGTGAGGAACCTGAACTGAGGGGCCTGGATATAGTGATAATTTCCCTAGTCCCGCCAGAGACTCCCTGTAAGCTGGACAGGCACAGAACTATAGGATAATGTGGCCGGAAAGGGCCGTCGAGACAGCCTTTTGCACCTTCTCTTCCGCAGTGTAATTTAGAAGAGTGTAGTGGTGTATATCCCTATGAGAAGTACAGCATTCACCTCCCCTATTCTGCCACTCCTTTGTGCCATGGCAAATCTCTGAGCCTCAGTGCCCTTATCTGTAGTGTGGGAACAGCAAGCATGCCTCTGAGAACAGGGCTAAAGGGAGTCATTAAAATCGTTACTATTAGTGGGAGAGCTGGGCTGTGAATACATTCCAGTCTCAGCTGTTGGTGGGAAGTTCTCCACCTCTGGGATGTGACTGAGTTACAGGTGCTAATGGATTCCCTTCTTTCCAGTTCAGTCCCAGAGGCGTTTTCTCGAAACCTGGCACTGATCTGGGCACACACCGCACCTCAGAAGCATGTAGGGGCTCCCCACTGTGGATTACAGCTAATGCTTATTGTTTTACAAAATGCCTGGTCCTGTCCTTAGCTGTTTGTACACATTAACTCATTTAATTCTGATAACACTCCTGAGGGGTAGGTGCTGTTATTTTCTTCGTTTTACAGAAAGGACGAAGAGGTACAGAGAAATGAAGCAACTTTCCCAAGGCTATCCAGCACTGATTGCTAGACTCAGGATTCGGATCTTGGCAGCCTGGCTCAGAGTCTGTGCTTTCAGCGCTGTAATGTAGTCCCCTCTCCATACTGAAATACACAATGTGATGAGTAGAAATAGAGGACAAAGCAGTCTAGAATATTAGTTCTGCCATTTACTTGCTGTATGACCTTAAGAAAGTCTTTTATTTTTTTTTATTTATTTATTTATTTATTTATTTATTTATTTATTTATTTTGAGACAGAGTCTCCCTTTCTAACCAAGGCTGGAGTGCAGTGGTATCTCAGCTCACTACAGCCTCTGCCTCCCAGGTTCAAGCATTCTCCTACCTCAGCCTCCTAAGAGGCTGGGATTACAGGTGTGTGCCACTATACCTGGCTAATTTTTGTATTTTTAGTAGAGACAGGGTTTCTCCATGTTGGTCAGACTGGTCTCAAAGTCCTGACCTCAGGTGATCTACCCACCTCGGCCTCCCAAAGTGCTGGGATTACAGGTGTGAGCCACCGCGCCTGGCCCTATTTCTATTTTTTTTAAGACAGGATCTCGCTCTGTTGCCCCACCTTAGCCTCCCAACTAACTGGAACTAATTTTTTATTACATGCGTTTGATTTTTTTTGTTTTTATTTTTATAGATATCCGGGTCTCAAAATGTTGCCCAGCCTGGTCTCAAAGGGTCCTCTTGCCTCAGCCTCCAAAAGTATTGGGATTGCAGGCAAGTGCCACCGTGCCTGGCCCTGGGCAAGTCTTTTGGCTTCTTCTCATCTTTAAAATGGGATCAGTAACCCTAGGAAGGTGAGAAGGTTCAGGAAGGTAATGCAGTGAAGGGGACTCCATTACTTAGGGAAGGGCTCAGTACATGTGAGTTTGTTGTTTTTTGAATGTGGTGGGAAAGAGAAGGCAGTAGAGAGGAACCAGAGAGGGAAGATGTCAGGCTGCCTCCTTTCTTTCTCATGCTATCATCATGTCCCTGCCCTCCACCCGTGGACTCCTAAATCCAATTACATTCCTGGAGAGAATGCTTACAAACTCAATCTGTGGGCGGGGCATGGTGGCTTATGCCTATAATGCCAACACTATGGGAGGCTGAGGCAGGCAGATGGCCCGAAGCCAGGAGTTCGATCGAGACCAGCCTGGCCAACATGGCAAACCACTCTCTCTACTAAAACTACAAAACTTAGCCAGGCATGGTGGTGCACGCCTGTAATCCCAGCTACTCAGAACCCAGGAGGTGGAGGTTGCAGTGAGCCAAGACTGCACCACTGTACTCCAGCCTGGGTGATAGAGACTCTGTCTCAAAAAAAGAGGAAAAAAAAACTCAATGTGTCCTCATTCCCATTCCTGTCCCCGCCAAATACCCAGTCTGGCCTAACTCCAGGGGTTTCAGTGAATAGAAGATGTTTCTAACCAGGTTTTTGTTGTTGTTAGTTTGCTTTTGTTCCTCTAATGTTTGGGTCATTAGGGCCTCACTGGGCAGTTTGACAACTTTGTAAATTCACCTTGAAACAGTTTGGTTTATATCTTGTGAGCTCTCTGGGCTTCATTCAGTGGCTGTGACACTAAGCTTATGGTTGAAAACATTGGCTTCAGATAGGCCCAGAGTAAAATCCCTGCTTCTGTTGCTGTGTGTTCTCGGCCAAACTGCATTCCTACTCTGGACTTCAGTTTTCTTTTTCTTTTCCTTTCCTTTATTTTTTTTTTTTTGAGACAGAGTCTCGCTCTGTCGTCCACGCTGGAGTACAGTGTTAAAATCGCTCACTGCAACTTCCACCTCCCAGGTTCAAGCGATTCTCTTGCCTCGGCTTCCTGAGTAGCTAGGATGACAGGCTTGCGCTACCACATCCAGCTAATTTTTGTATTTTTAGTAGAATTGGGGTTTCACCGTCTTGGCCAGGCTGGTCTTGAACTCTCGACCTCTCAAAGTGCCGGGATTACAGGTGTGAACCACCATACTGGTCTCTTTTTTTTGTTTTGTTTTGAGCCAGGCTCTCACTCTGTTGCCCTGGCTGGGGTGATGATCTTGGCTCACTTCAGCCTCTACCTCCTTGGATCAAGGGATCCTCCCACCTCAGCCTCCTGAGTATCTGGGACTACGGGTGTCTGCTACCACGCCTGTCTAATTTTTGTAGAGTCAGCGTTTCACCATGTTGCATAGGCTGGTCACTCCTGACCTCAAGTGATCCACCCACCCGCCTTCGCCTCCCAAAGTGCTGGTGTTACAGGAATGAGCCATGAGGCCCAGCCAGCCTCAGTATTCTCATGTAAAAATGGGACCACATTTAACCTCTGAGCTTCTCGTAAGGAGTTCATGTGGTAACTGATGAGGTGGCATATATAAAATGCCTGGGGTGTATTATGCTCTCAATAAGTGTGAGATATTTTTCCAATATTTTTTTTTTTTTTGAGATGGAGTCTTGCTATGTCACCCAGGCTGGAGTGCAGTGGCTCGATCTCGACTCACTGCAACCTCTGCCTCTGAGGTTAAAGTGATTCTTCTGCCTCAGCTTCCCTAGTAGCTGGGACTACAGGCACCTGCCACCACACCTGGCTAATTTTTGCATTTATAGTAGAGACATGGTTTCACTATGTTGACCAGGATGGTTTCGAACTCCTGACCTTCTGATCCATCTGCCTCAGCCTCCCAAAGTGCTGGGATTACAGGCGTGAGCCACCACACCCGGTTTTCCTATGACTTTTATTCTTTCAAGAAACGATATTGAAGCTGGGCAAGATGGCTCATGCCTACAATCCCAGCACTTCAGGAGGCCAAGGTGGGAGGCTGGGATTAACCAGGATGGCAGGATCACTGGAACTCAGGAGTTTGAGACCAGCCTGGGCAACACAGGGAAAATTCATCTCTACAAATAAAATTTTTTTTTTTTAGACAGAAACTCTTGCTTTGTCGCCCAGGCTGGAGTACAGTGGCACGATCTCATTCACTGCAACCTCTACCTCCTGAGTTCCAGCAATTCTCCTGCATCAGCCTCCCCAGTAGCTGGGCTTACAGGTGTGCACCTCCATGTCCTGCTAATTTTTGTATTTTTAGTAGAGAGGAGATTTCGTCTTGTTGGCCAGGCTGGCCTCAAGTGATCCACCCACTTGGACCTCCCAAAGTGCTGGAATTATAGATGTGAGCCACTGTGCCCGACCTTGTTTTTTTGTTTTGTCTTGTTTTGTTGACAAAACTCTGTTTTGTGACCGAGTGGAGGGCAGTGGTGCGATCTCAGCTCACTGTAGCCCCAACTTCCTGGGCTCAGGTGATCCTCTCACCTCAGCCTCCTGAGAAGCTGGGACTGCAGTTGCATGCCACCACATACAGCTAATTTTTGTATTTTTTTGGTAGAGACGGTGTCTCACTATGTTGCCCAGGCTGGTCTTGAACTCCTAGACTCAAATGATCTGCCGGACTTGGCCTTCCAAAGTGTTGAAATTACAGGCATGAGCCACTGCACCCAGCCTCAAATAATTAAAAAAAAAAATTAGTCGGGCTTGGTGGCATGAGCCTATAGTCCCAACAACTCTGGAGGCGGAAGTGAGAGAATCACGGACCAGGAGGTTAAAGCTGCAGCGAGCTCTGATTGCCCACTACACTAGCCTGGGTGACAGAGCGACAGCATCTCAAAAAAAAAGCAACAACAAAACAAAAAGAAAAATGTACTGAGTGCAAGCTCTGGAGTCAGAGTGCCTGGCTTTGAATGGAAAATGGGGGTTCATTCCTTAAGTGTTTGTTTATTTATTCTTTTTTAATTTTTTTTAGTTGCCCAGGGTGGAGTGCAGTGGTACGATCTT